AAAAAAAAATCTCTTGATTACATATCCAAGTTCAGAAATTAGAGAAAATTAGTTCATATCATCTAAATACCACAAATAAATTCAGAATTATACATGGAATAATGCATTTCAATGCACATTCATTCAACGTCCTTTTCACATTATTTCCATTCAAAAATTGTCAGTACTTAAGTGCCAAACTCAGCCAGGCTTTAAAATGAGTAATAAGCAAGCAGTACCCACTTTAATCATTACATGAAAAACCCAGGCTTACTTCCACAGACTGATGTTTCATTTCCAGGATTACTTAAGCTACTGACACAAAAACATACTTAAGCTATAATGGCATTTTCCAGGAAGTTATATAGTTTTATCATACATTGATACTTTCTTTGAAAAATGAGAGGAAATTTTAACAAGTCAATAAAGTTGACCCTAAATTTTCTTCATTTACTTAGTGTGTTGCGGGGGTAGAAGGCCTGAAAGAACTGCTCTAAGAAATGCAGACCAAAGCAGGTCGCATTTGCATCTTAGAACTAAGGTTCCATGCTTAAAACACTTAGAATTATCTCTAGATATACTGCCTATGGCTTACCTTGATAATTAGTATTAGGATATTGGTAGCATTATTTAGCTGTCAACCAAGAAGTGAGATGAAGATCCGCCTTTTCCTGACAAGTCTAGCAGTTGCTATTGTAACTTGGAAATTGAAAATTGAAATGTTTCATTTGCTGGATGTTAAAATAATATTTCCTATAAGCATATTATGAAGTAGAGCCAATGGGAAAAGCTATGAGACTATTGTGAATTAAACTAAAACTTGATTTATTTGAATTCTATTCAGTGATGTGAACTTGAATGTTCTGTGGCAAAATACCTATTATTTCTACATGCTGCTTGTATACCCTGATAATGTTGTACTCTGTACATCATATATAATAAATATCATGGGTACCTTTAGAAGAAAGTTACCAAATATTCATATTCTCGAACAATATACTAAAAAGAATGTTTTAATATTTTACATATAAATTCTATAATTTTTTATCACAAAGACTAAATATATGAGCCATTCCCCATCATAGGATTTTAAAATGGAAAAGTAACTTTAGGTCTGTATAGTCTCAGATAGCAAAAGCACAACGCACAAAAGCTGCCATTTATCTTTTCTAAACCCATGGCAGACAGGACCAATAGATTTTAGCTCTCTCTTCTACAGAGCACTGGTGTGGCCTCAGATGCTTATCCACACAGAACATGAGGCTGCCCTTGCCAATCGATCAGAGTTGGACAGAGGAAGAAATGTGTTTACTAACTTCACTCCAGTCCAGAAACTTTAATATACAAATAAAGAAACTGGAATAATAAAAACATAAGTAATTCCCTATTTTGCTACTTCATTAGTTTTGCAGAAGAGCTAGGATTAAAACTGATTTTGAGCTTTTATAGCTGTATCTTGTCTTAACGAACTTATTTTAATAGTAACAGACAGGAGGCTTGAAATTAGAATATTTTTAATTTTAAAAACTCATTGCTTTATTTTCATCACATTGCAGCTGCTGATTTTCATATACATAATGTGTTATTTTTTTCTCCTTATCTCTTTGTAAGCCAAAAATATTTCCTCAGAAAAGAAATTAATCACACGTTTTTAAAAAATACACACATTATTGAAGAAGTTAGTTTGAGACAAGTGTTTAGCTAATTTAGGAAATAATTATTCAACCTAGCATGTCTCTGGTTTGCTTTCTACTGACCAAAAAAAAAAAAAATCCAGGGCTGTACATTTCCATGTGATATTATCCTCAGCAGTTACTTTGACAACTGAAAAAATCTACCATCTACCTTTTTACCCCTACTCAGACAGCTGAAATTCCTTACATGGGCTCTGGTCCCCATTTCTTCCCACGACTCTCCTCTACCTTGCTATTCTGCTGTGCACACTTGATACAACTCCAACCTCTCAAATTTTCAAGCAAGGTAAGAAGTTGCTTCCTTCCTTTACCATCAATTATCCATCCGCTCAACAAATATTTTCTCTGTACCCATGATGTGGCATGAGATATTTTAGGTACGAAAATTCAACACCTGCAACATAATAGATACAGAGAAACCCTGACATCAGCGAGTTACATTCTCATTTAAATTTTAGCAAGCAAATATTCAGCATGTCAGATGTTGATTAGGTCTGAGGAGAAAAATGAAAAGGCCTTGGACACAGGGATTGATGGGGGACAGGCTCGCTCATCTGTACAAGGTGCTTAGAGAAGACTACTGAAACCCAATATCTGGTCAGAGAACTCATGAAAATGGGGGGGTGCTGTTTATATCTGAATAGTTTCTAGCTAAATAAATGCTTAATATATAGATAATATTAAAGCCACAAGAATGCAAGCAGAAAATCACACTCAACTTTAAATCTCAACACAGTAGGGAGAGTAGCAGTAACTGCTCAGGAGAAAAGATAAAAAGAGCCACCCCAGAATTCAGCGAAAGTGTTTTAAGAATGAGAATGTGTCCAAATGTACAAAATGATACTAAGCTTGCGAAACAAAAACTAAGACTGATCATTTCTTTTATTCACATAAAAGGCATCCTTCATAAAGGCTATTTCAAGGACTATAATTGGGTTCAAAGAAGAAAGGAGACAAATGATCTACAGCATATAAAAAGCAGCCTTTTCTAGGACTTTAAAGAAGAGTAGGTAAATGTGCAAAAGGGAAAATGCAAGTTTTTCGTGTGTTTTTTTTTTTTAAGATAGGAAAATGTTGTGTAGTTGCGTATTGAAAAAAATCTGGTAAGAAGCAGAAATTGATGAAGCAAGAGAGGGAAGATTTGCTGGAGCACTGTTCTTCATCAGGCCAGAAGGGACGGAGCCTTAATAGCAGAGTGGAGTGATGGGAAGTAGAGAGCACTGCCATAGCTAGAAACACATTTTATTCACAGGAAGGAGGGAAGGCAGAGTTTGCGTGCACAGATGAAGGGGGCAAAATAACGTGATGATGGGAAAATAGGAAATTGTCCCTGAGTACTTCTTATGTGAAATCTGAAACAGAGTCAAAACTTACAATGAAGAAAAGAAAGGAAGAAGTGTTGAAGGTCTGAGGAGAAGGGAGACTCTCTCCTTTCCTTTGTCTACTAAATGAGCTGAAACAACCACCACTCTTGCTCATATTAATAGGAAGTCACGGGTACCATCTACTCTTAATTATCCACACCACTGCTCCCTCACATAATCAAAAGTTGACTATGTGTTCCAGAGAAGTTGATAAAAGGTTACCTCATTACTTTCACCTTGAATTGCTTTCAAAAAATACTTGGTATACAAATACATGTTCTTTCTCCCTCACTGTCCCCAACCATGACCTCCTTACAATCACAAGATTTTAGTGCTTTCTCTTTCATTCAGGTACAAGCAGCTCCATAAAACAAACACAAAGTTCCTCTCAAATGCATTGACTTGAGAATCAAAAGGAAGGAGAGTAACTTATTCACTTTGGCCCTTCTAACTCATTTTCTTTAAAGTATATTTTTATTTCTTTAGTCTCTTAATCATTTTTGATGCTCTCATCAGACAACTATGCCATAGACTTTTAAATATAGGGCATATCTTGAAAACATATGATATCATAATTTAAAACCTGGAGCAATAAAATGAGTAATTATTAGTTCAGGTATCCTAACAAGATATAAAGATAAAGCAATTCATATCCATAGTTGTTTTAACACCCGAACAAAGAATTTATTTGTATATCTGGGGAGGAAAATGAAAAACAAGTGGGACTGAGTTGTCCTTGCATGCTTCTGAAACAGCTGAACTTACCTCTCCAAAAGGTGAAATATCTGACCTAATATGAGAAGCCTGTCCATCGGTGTATCTCATGATCTATAATTATAGTAACAAGTCATGATTTGCTTAAGTCA